GCAGGAGAGCCTCCCACTCAAAACTGAGTAGTCTGCTCCGGTGTCCACGAGTGCCGATGCGTCGTGGCCGTCGATGATGACGTTTAGGTTGTTGGACACCGTTTCAGGAGCGTCGTTTTGGTCTCCGGTAGCGTTCGAGTGGGGGCCCTCCGACGTTCGTGGAGGATCTTGGCGTCGGTGGTCTTCGGCAACTCCACCTCCAGGGGTTGCCGCGCCTAGTTTCCCCGGCGTGGAGCGAGGGGTGACAGGCTTTCACGTCGGGGTCGGTGCATCGGCGAAGCTGGACGTCGTGGCGACGGCGACCGGAACTCTCGGCGTGACGCAGGCTCGGGGGACTGGGGTCGTCGCAGGTACTCGTCGATCTCCCGAGGGCGTTCACCATACCGGGGGCGCGGGTCGCTTGGATGGAATCCGCGCAGCCCGAGTCGTCGGTATGGGCATCGGCGGTACACATGGTCAGCTTCCCCGCAGTGGTAACACAGCGGGCGTCGGTCGGCCGTCCTCCAGACGTCTGTCTTCCTCGGCGCGGGTCGCTCTGGGGGAACGTGCGCCTGATCTTCCGGCCGTCGGGGGTACTGCGGCGTTGGGGCGTCTCTTCGTGGTGGCGCCGTGGCTTGGCGGGAAGCTTGCGGCGGTCGTCGGGCCATGGCGGCGTAGCTCAACGTCGGTTCCTCCGGTGCCACCCTGGTGACGGGAACCTCTGGTTGGAGCGCGCGATGCACTTCTTCTCGGACAGCCTCGGCGATGGAAATGGTTGGCGGACGGCTGGTGGTTGGCAGCAACCTTCGCAGTTCCTCCCGGACAACCTCCCGGATAATTTCGCGGATGTCCGTACCAGGCACGTTTTCACCGCTAAGCAGCGCGGTTGCAGTGACGCTTGGCTGCCGCTGGTAGTGGGAAGCGCGCGCTTGGAGGGCGCGCTCGATGTTTGTCGCCTCGCTGACGAAGGCGTCAACGGTTGCCGGCGGGTTGCGGACGAGGCCTCCGAAGATGTCGTCCTTCACGCCCCGCATCAAAATGCGCAGCTTCTTTCCCTCGGTGGCCTGAGGATCGGCGCGGGAGCTCAGGCGGAGCACGTCTTCCACAAAGCTCGTGACGCTTTCATTGGGGCCCTGGGTCCTGGTTCGCAGTGTAGGTCCTCGGCTCTCTCTCGGCGGTGGTGGTTGACGAACGTAGCCTTCAGGTCGGTCTTGAAGATGTCCCACGACGTCAAAGAGGACTCATGGTTCTCGTACCAGTGCTTGGCGGTTCCCTCAAGCGAGAAGTAAACATTGTGCAGGCGTTGCTCGTCGGTCCAGCCATTGTGGCGGGCAACGCGTTCATACTGGTCAATCCAGTCTTCGACGTCTTCGTAGAGTTCACCGTGGAAGGGGGCAGCCGTCCGCGGTGCGACGGGCATGTAGACGACGGGAGAAGCGGCGGGGGCTTGCGACTGGTTGGCCATCGTCGTCTTCTGCGGCTTGGGCTTGTCCAGGAGCAAACCGTACTCAGGATCCTCTCCCTTGGTGCGGTGGCTGGTCCGAATTTCAGGTTCTGCGGGAAGTGGTCTTCTCACCGAGCCGGGAATCGGACTTGCACTGCGGTCCCTTGGAGGAGAACGCTGCACGGGCATGCGGTACCCCGCACCTCCACCAAAATGTCACGGGTGGTGACCAAAAGAAAACAGGAAATAAACAAGAAGAAATAAACGTTTAATGTGGCGAACTTGTGCCAAAAATAAAAGAGTACAAAAGATAATAATAGAGCGTCACGGGCGTCGAAGTCGGCGTGGCAGCAGAGTCGAACGCTGGGGCGAGACTGACTCGACAAGGTCGCGGGCGGCCTCTTATCTAGAGTGCGCCGCTATCTCGAAGATTCGGCGAAAGCGGTTCGAGCGTCGCGTGATCGGGGCGAGAATGAACACGCACTTTCTAGAAAACAAAAGCAGGGATAAATGATAGAAGTTATGTGCGGTACATGAATAAACGGGAACTTTCTGGAGGACCGTGACCGAGCGTTGCTTTCTCAGCCTTGCGCGCGGCAGTATTATCCAGAAACGTATGAACCAGTCGTATATATGCCATATATGCCTACATACCCGATAACATTAATGGTCTAAAATATATTTCTTAATGGCCCCTTTTCCCTTAAAAAATATAAATGAATATTGGGCTTGAACGTTTAAAGCAAAAAAAAAGCAGCAAATGATGGCCGGTCTTGGATATAGACGGGCAACTGGCCTTTTATCCCAAAAACCGTCTTGTGTCTGTCAAAAACCAGGCAGGTGGAAACTGTAGCGTTTGGTTGCTTGAGCCTTTTTTTATACTGTAAACTTAGAAAGGGTAGCATTATCACGAAAATAATATGATGAGTGATTATTGACTTATACAAAAGATATATTAAAGGCAGGCAGCTGAATTGTTGGTGACAACTTTGGGGGGGGTGGGGGGGGGGGGGGGGGGGGGGGGAGCTCTTTGACTTATGACAATAATGGCCAAAATATGCTTCTTGGTGTTTTGATACCAAAAATATAAGACGTGACATTGCTGTGGAGAGTATTCACACCAGCTTTACTCAAATATAGGGCAACTTGTCCCTCGCCAAAGATGAAACAATATTTCAATATCCGTCAACGCTAATATTCTAGGTGGAGATAAAAGAAATCGATGGAAACATTTATATCACAGTGACCCTACTCGGCCAAGCTAAAATTGGCTTGTCGTCAGCACTGGCCATGCCATTGTCTGAACTTTCACGCAATGACATTGGCATCGTCATAGTGTCACAAATCTAAAAGTCACAAGAAAATTAACAAATTGGTTAGACGGCAGCTGCTGTAATAAGAGAGAGCGAGTGTCTCTTACTCCTGACAAGATCACCTAATTATTGTGTCATCTACATACTCAACACTGTGTCACTTGCACCTCTTGCATCAGTCTGCCCTGCTTCGCACTAGTGTGCATGTTTTGAGCCTCGCTGCTTTGCATTGGTGTGCCAGGAGCAGGGGGCTTCTGGGTTACCTCATTGGCTTGGGAATTATGCACACTACTATTGCACATCAACATTCTTCGGCTACAATTGTAGGTCAACCCCTAAGTTTAATGAGATTGGAATAATAAGGAAAAATATGGACCTCTTTTTTAATGAATATGGTCCGATTACATTTTGCAAGCTGCAGCCAAATCTAGCTCAGACAACATCAACTTCTCTGGAAACTTTTACTCTGGTTAAAGTTGTAATTGACTGTGACAGCCTTGTTAGGGTCTCTAAACTTTCAAATAGTATGTCTTTGAAAGGAAGCGTGCAATGATTTCCCCACTCTTTTTAAGTAGTACTCGGAATAAAACTTTACCACTTATTGAACGAACAATGCATATAAATTTTCATTTTTAAATCGGTGGTGGTGGGGACCAGGGGGGAAGGGGGGGAAGGAAGGAGGAAGGGGGGCCAGCCAATTAAAGTAAAGAAACTGCATATGAGAACCTCAACTTTCTACCAAAGACGAAAGCGTGTACATAGCGACAGGTATATGTTGCTAGGACACACAGAGGGATATGCGCAAATTGTAGCCTCTTGCATTTTTATTTCTCATTGCTTTATTCACATTTGTATGCACCTCATTCTAAGAATGAAAGAGAATTAGTAATCTGCCTGTTAAGTTGGGGAGTTAGGGACCGGTCTTTTTTTACAAAGAGCATTTGTAAAAAAGAAAAAACTACAGGAGTAGACTTAAGACTTCTTACATGTAGGAATGCGAAAGCATTATAGTCCCGTGCAGTCGCCTCACAGTCCATCGCACAAAGCACACAATGAGCACAGATCAAGTCCGAAGCGCACCTTTCGCACACGTTTCAAGGCTTCCGTGACGAAGCATTTGCGTTACTGTGCTTTCCTTTGTGTTTTATTTTTGAGGCCCGTCCGCTTTGACCTTGAGCAGCGGCGTTTCCGCCGGCTTTATGACTTCCGTGACGAAGCATCTGCGTTGGCACGCCTGCCTTGACCTTGAGTGGCACGTGCTTGATGACATTTTTATGGCCATCTTTTGAGCGCAACAAGCACAACGCTGAGTCTTATCGCGAAATGGGACATATAAGGCTTCCCCCTTAATAAAAGGCCACTGAAAAGAAAAAAAATGTTATTTTTTGACAGTCTAATTAGAACACGCTTCTCAAAAAAGATATTTTATGCGAAAAAAATTTTTTTAGAGCAATATTGCCAGCGCGACATGCAATTTAGTTGGTAGTCACCTCCTTTCCACTTGTTTTCTCTCGGCATTTCAGACGCATGAAGGAGAGAAGCTGTGGCAGTCACATTGAGGTGGAGGGAGTCTATGACCATCTTGTTGAGGTAGAAAGGATGTAAGACCATTCCGTGACATCATGGACTTTGCACGCATAATTCAGACGCAACTAAAATAAATCTTGCGCCGTTAATATTGGTCTAAAAAATGTTTTCCTTTCATAAAGTTAGTCTTTTTACATACAAGTCCCAACCAAACTCTATGAAATAATTTTTTTTTTTAACTTTTTAGTGGCCTTTTATGAGGAAAGATGTAATGAAACATTTTTTCAACCAGTGTTTACATATCTGCTTTAGGATGAGAGCAGCTCCACATTTGCATGTATCTCATTAAACAGCATAATTAAAGCCTTCTGGTGAGAAACCTTTTAGTTATGCACTCGCATCTCACTAATGTGCACCTCAAAGAGTGCCTTGTTGCAGCTTTGAAGTAAATATGTGATTATTATTCAACTGAATTTAGAAAAGTCTATTATATGAAATACATAAATAATGAGGTGTCTTGCTGCTGCGTAAACACTGTATAGATAACACTGGATATCTCGTAATGTTTGTACTTCCCTTCATTGTCATAAATAGCTTTACTTTCTTCTGTTTTTTTGTTTTCTTTTGTATTTTCACGGAACCACACAACAGGTAAACGGTAAACCATATCATGAAGGTGTACTACTTGGTTTCGATCCAGTGGATCTCTTGAAAGCTCGGTCTGGGGCCCACCGCAGGTGAACGAGGCGGAGCGTGAGCGTGTGCAGAGCGGCCTTGAGCAGGGCCGGCTTTGGCATGCCTGCCGGGGACAGCAGCAGGCTGTGCTCGACCTCCACCTAGCACTCAAGAAGTCCATCGTCAAGGCAAGGTAGGCACCCCAGTGTCGACTCTGGCCACAGGCAACTGACATAAACTAAATTGTGGGTGTTTACATAAGTCTGTTCCAAATCAGTGTGGGATATTGAACATACCTTAGTTGTGGTGGGTAGCTAGCTAGAAGAAGAGGTGGGACGATTGCGCAGGCGAGAGCAGGATCGAAATGGGGTGTATTGCAAGGTGGCGCTGCTTCCAGTCTACTGGAAGCAACACCACCTTGCACTCCGGGGCTAGAAAAGAAAATGATAACGAGAATGGGCAGATTGAGCATATATTTATTGTAATCTGTAGAGCCCATAAATTGGAAGACGGTCCCCCTATATTTTTCAGCATTTTTCTCGTGCTCCGTTTTATTCAGAACGAGTTAACTGGTCCTTGCCATTGTGGCACTGCTGTCAACTTACATATTGTATCATGGTAACAGGGACACATGAGGTGCAAAGTCAGCCACTGGAAGAAGCGAGTGGTCGCCACACCTCTCCTTCTAGCCCACTTCACCTTAGTGAAGGACTGCGGATTAATCTAAACATTCGGAGTATTTTACGCGCGGTTGAAATCATACTTCAATGTTAAATGGCGTTCGCACCTCGATAAGTCTTCTTCAGACTGCTGGTGCCCCGGTCTGTATTTGGAATCTGTTGGCCGGGGTTCTGTTTGCCGGAAATCTCATGACAACCACCGTTTTTTCCAAATGTTTTCACCCACCTTTTTAACTCTTTGCTCGCATAATCGTAGAGGCAAAAAAGCAACAAAGAAGGAAAAAGCCAAAGACACTATAGGCGCATGCACATAGTAGATTTTGACTTAGAAGTGAATCCAAAACGAATTGGCCGAATATTTTTGAATAAAATATTTTATGTTTTCGCCAAACATTTCACTAGTAAACGAAAACCCAGCTAAACTTACAAGGGTTGTTTGCAAGCTTTCACTTGGCATTTTTAAGCTATCTTAATTTTAATTTAATTATATTTATGAACTGTGACCTCAGGTGGCTCAATGCTTACATTCGGACAGCAAGGAAATGACACACTTGACATAAACATAAACCTACAGAGGTGCCAAATAAATCTTTGTTATATGAGAAAATTTTTTTCTTCAAACTCGAATTTTAGAGAAAAAAAAAGACAATCACGAATGATTAATGCAAGTTGTCGGGGCATCTCTACCTAACATGTAATCTTGCATAATAACCACAGTTTAATTTTGAAAATTTTACTGCATTGTAGATGTCAACATGTGCAGAGTTTCAGTTTCTTTTTAAATACACCAAGTGCGTGTGCGCACAATCCCGTTTTGAAAGTGCGCTTTCCTTCTAATCGCGTGACTGTGATATTTATATTTTTCGAAGTCTTGATTTCGGCGGGTTACAGCCCCATTGAGCGTGCTTCTTACCGAGCACCGGTGCACTGTGGAGAAGCAACACCCGCAAAAACGAGCTTCTCAACAGTGCATCAGTGCCTGGTAAGAAGCACGCTCAAATTGGGGCTACCAGCCGCCAGAGCCGTATATAGAGAGAGTTTGGTCAATGGGAGGATGGGCAGAGCCGAGGCATACACCAGATGCTGTTAGAGGGCTTGACATGCTCTGTTGTTCAACCAGAAGCCAAAAATATTCCGCTAGCAGTGGTAGCGAGAAACAGTTTTAAAAAGTGTGTCACAGTTAAATGTAGTAAATATTCATGGTTGAAGATATGGTGCACGTGACGTTTCAATTATGATCATGTAGGAAACGAATGTGCCGCTCAAACTGTTTTTCTTAGACAGTGTTTAACTGCTGGGACGGCAGATTCTCGGCGCATGGCATACGGGTTATGTCAATCATTCTGCTAGTCGCACACACTTTTTTATTTCTTCTATATATCTTTATATATCTTATGCAATGATTTTGCATGACTGTGATTGAAATATCATGTGCGCAATATCTTTAGTCACCTAGAGTTACTCTGACATACTTATTAATTTTTTTTCTCGTGATCACTGCCAAGGGGATCGCTGGGACGGCTTCTTGTTGGGCACATTCGAATTTGTGAATATGCCCTGGAACATGCCCAGCTTGCTTTCAGCCAATGACTTCTCCTCATTTGCCTCCTATACTTCTCAATGAATGGCCAAACTCTTGCCGTAATCAACACAGAAAAATTTGAATATCGCAATTCATCCTGAAATTAATATTGATTTGCATGTTATTCGAAATCACTGTTCGAAAATTCGAATATTTGTGCAATCCTACACATAACCCTAAGAGAGCTCAATAGGGCCAGCATTTTAGGAAAACACCCACAATGAAAATCTGTCAATAAGGTTCTACTGAATGCATGGGCATTTATTCATTTTTCACATATATCAACACAATTCAGTCCCCTCAATTTATTGTTTGGTTGAGTAGATACCAGAAGACCAGACTGCAGATCTGAGCACCTGCTGCCTGGAAGTATCAGCACAACAATTTGGAAAAAAGTAGTTTCAGAAAGCAAAAGAGTATGACAGAGCACTATATGTCGGAAAGGCGCTTATCCCTTATCTGTTGTATTTTACTCAATGTACAGTTTATTGTATTTGACTGTACATCACTTCTAGCATGAGCACAGTGTTGGCACTTTTTTTTCATTTTACTTTGGTTGCGCCCCAAATGAACACTTTCCATCACACCAGCAGTTTGGACGGCAGCTTTACGATTCCAAAAGAAAAACAGGGGAAAAAAATGGTAATTGTATCTTTGTGCTAGCAGTGTTGCATATATGTACTTGCTACTTGAAGTACATATATGCTGCCAGTCAGCATTGGGAAGAATTACTCTGAAAAGTATTTGGAAATACAAATACAGGGATACATAGTCTGTAAGTACTGATACTGAAATACATTTATTATAAAGTATTGTGATATGTATTAGGAATACATTTAAAGATAGAAATGTATTCGGAAATACAAATGCAAGAATACATTCTGTTGGGACAGAAATACAAATACTGAAACACCTTTTTAAATAGAATTGCTATTTGTGTTATTCATTTATAGAACTGGTTGTGCCAATGCACACTTAAAAAACATATATGATCCAAGTTACTCTGAAGAATTATACTAGACCCTTGAAACCAACAAGCGAGTTCTCACTGTAAGATTCAACCCAAATATCATCACTAACGATTTTGACCTCAAAATAGATTTCTCGCAGAATTAACATTTTGCATTTTGCTCAATGAGCAGAGAGCAAGTAGTTCTTTAATGGGCTGAAAAACTTATTTTATCAGGGCTAGGGTGCGATTTGTCTTGAGATCTCTCATCCTTCTCAAACAAAATCACAGGGAACTCTAAATAATTTTTGTGCACTCCCAAATGACCTCGAGGTCATCGTACCCTTATTCAAGCTAGGTGTCCTTTTCGGTGTGATTTTAAGAAGTCACGGTGGAATGAAACAGTGTTCTTTTAACTGATGGTTGGATGTACCGGCAGCGCCTAGAACTTTTGAACATTCAAGAATAATCGACGCAAAAGTCCAAGAAAACATTTGCTCTTTTTTTTTTTTTTTTAGAATAAAGAAGCTAGTGAGTTCAGTCAGAGACGAAACATTCTTTACAAACATTGGTCTCCACAATACAAAGCCTCAGCGTCTTTTTTACACAATCCTTCCTCCACTCAAGAAAAAAATGTCAGTTCGAACTTTTGATTAAAAGGAAACGATTCCTTAAAAAGTGTAACGTGGTACATCGGCTCCTAATAGTATCGTTATACCAGGAATACAGCCGAAAATTTATTTCAATCCAGAGATACAAAATGCACTTGAAAAATTGTATGGCAATACAGAAATATAAATACCAAATGTATTTCTGAAATACTGTGGCATCACATTTGTATCGCGATACTACCCAACCCTGCTGCCAGTTCGTTATGCTTGACTAAATTAGCATACTTTTTATATGTATATTTTTCCCGGCACTACTTCTTACTCTCTCTCGTTAATTCGACTTATTATTGATACAGTTTAGATTGACACGTCTGACTTCAAATCGCTTCCACCTCTAATTAGTTTGTCCTATTAATAACAGAATTTACATAATAAAAGTTCAACAAACATTTTGTTTTACTCTCGATTACTTCGAGGAATTGTTGGCAAAAATATGTTTGTAAAAGCTCATTTGATATTCTGATTACTTTTTGGTTATAGCTATTATTGATACAAACAACTTTATAGAAGCAAACATTTCGTCACTCAGTCGAGGAGTTTGAATTAATGTTGACAAAGGCAATATAAGTTTGATTAAGATTTGGATTACTCCGTGTTTCTAGTCACCCAGTTGACTTTGAATTAACTCAATTAACTTAGTAGTTACTTTTTTATCTTTCCCCAATATATTAGTCACACAACTGAGTTTATATCAGCATTATTGAAATGTTTGAGTAGCCACTGATCTATTTGACTTTATAATGGTCTAACTGACATAATCCTCACTCATTATTACTTAGTGCTTTTATAAACCCGAGTGATTTATTATCAGCTCAGTTCCCATTTTGATCACTCTTTTGATTACTTCAATTTACTATTGACCCAATGGAATTTGATCCGGCCTAATTGACATCATGATTACTCTGGGCATTACTTTGAGCAAATTATAGACTAACCGATTTATTATAAACATGTGTCACTTTATGATTACTATTTTGTATATTGCAAGTTACTAATGACTGAATGAACTTTAATTCACCCTAATTGACATCTTGGTGACTTGATTACATTGAGCTACCCAGTTGAAAATTCCCATTAGATTCCAATTGGAATTTCCAATTGGTACCAGCTAGCTTTTGGGACAACCAATCGGTCACTCACTGCAATGGGAACCAATTGGAACCTATTAAGATTCCAACTGGAAATTTTTTTCGAATTGGTGAGACCCATTGGGCCAGTGTGCTTCCAATTGGAACCCACTAAAACCACTGGTTCCAATTAAGCCCAGCTAGAATTCCATTTGGATCTAATGGGAATTTTCAGCTGGGTAAT